CATCTGACATTACCATTAACTTCAGTCCAACTTGCGAGCAGAAAGATTCGTGGATAAATTCAAGAGTTCACTGCTGGGAAAAGGACTAAGGAAATCATACGACCGTTCCTTACGTTATCGGGCTACGCCTGACGCTACTGCGCCAGGATGCAGATCTTCAGCGGACGCCATGTTCTAGTCTGAAATCCGCTTACAAATCGATAGAATATGCCAGAAGGTTACTCACTGGCCACTCGCTTCAGATGTGAGCAGTTGATTCCAGTGGGGCAGGCTACGTGTTAGAAAACGAAAACTAAGCCTTGTGACCCGCAGTTTTACTGCTCATTGTGTTCTACGAGGTGTCTATTGGACCGATGCCATCCGTTCGGCACGTTAATCAACTAGGCAGACGACGGAAAGAACACGCAATCACTGCAACTTCGAATTGCCGTTGAATGCACTGATGGACACGTTTGGAATACCAAAAACGAGATCAGTAAGCTGAGCAGAGCACGTACAGATGCACACCATAGAGTCGTTGGGAGATTCATGCCGACAACCGAAACTAAGGGTCGTGAGGTGCGAGCGGTTGATTATAGCGGCAAACATCCTCGACCATGTACATCGCCTCTGACCACCAAATGTTCCACCCATCTTCAAACGCTAATCTGCAGGTTGCATGACGCGCATTGCTTCTGTGTCAATTCATAGTACACCTAAATCAGCATCTACCGATTGTTCTTTATCTGCTGGGGCGTTGGTATGGTCCGCAGTTATCCCGTTAGCGTTTAGCTTTCTTGGTATTCCTATGCTACTGATACTTGACGCAGTACGACCTGCTTTCGACCCACCACAAACCGATCGGACCTTTACAGGTAAACCCTACACTTCATGCTTACGACACGTAAGAAAAGCGTTTTATGTAAGTGATGATGTTATGTCCGGCGATCCGGTGCCTTAAAATTGCAACGTCCTCGCGCGGATCTGGCCATGAACCTCACACCCACTATTCCACTATGATTCACGTTGTTGAACTCGCCGATGATGTGAGGCGATCTGTTTGACGCATCTTCTTACTCGTTATTGTCAGCTGTCTTGCTTATATGGTGGAACTTGACACTTAATCAATACACCATGTGGTACGGTGGAATATTTTTCTTACGACTCTATGCCCCTTTAGCCGCTGTTATAACAATTGTCTTGATGTTTGACAGTCACAAGGCGACTCAGTCTGCCCGTGGAAAATCTGCAGTATTCCAGTCACTTGGTATGCCTTTCACTTTCAAAATGCAAATTACTGTTACAGTACCACCTGCCGTTTTGTGGGACCCTGATTGCTGAAGGTGTGTACATAAATTAGGCAATCCACGCACCTAATTTGGAAAGTGCGTTCACAACGCTGGGTGAGTCACTGTTTCAGTTAATCCACTTATTGCGGATACTGGAAGTGCATACTTAACGGTGCGATATATGTGGCACCAGAAAGGGAGTTACCTCGATCTGAAAGTCAGATCGATGGCCTTTCTTCTCTACGGGAGTGAGACTTGACCTCTTCGGTTTGAGGATCTGAGTAGAGTTCAAGTCTTTGATCGTCATTCACTACAGTACATCTCTTATGTTAGATGACACCAATCCAAGGTGATTATGGTCAGTTTATTAGTTAATAAAACAATTACGCTGAGTAAGTCGCATTGGCTAAAGCTCGTGCCACGTATACCTGGGCGCCGTTTACCTAGGAGTGACTTGTTTCGTCGCCAGATTTTGAATGGCGCAAGGCTTGAGGTGGAGTTGGCACCTGGAAATAAAGACGCTGACGATTAAATTGGGTGTTGTTTTTCCGTCTTGCCTTCAAGGCTGCAGCCCGCGTGACTAACCTTATGCTCGGCTCGAAGATTTAGGTACATGACCCTCCGTCGACACAAGTAAAACTTGCTGTTGTCGCCTAGATTTGCGTGTTTAAGTTTCGTCTGATGTTGATTAGTCTGGGACATAAGGTTAACCATGACGCAGTGATGGTGCTTCGCTAATGCCACAGGTTTGTGACCATAAGCTTTTGGTAGTGTGTAAACCCCTTGATCCTGCACTTTTACTTAGAGCATGTAGGTTTTACACTAGCATCATGTCTCAGTATTCCTCATTTGCTGGGTCAATGTGGTCATACGGCAACGATTCATCGGTTTAAATTACCGAGGTACCTTTTGTTCGTCGCAATCAGCCGACAATTCAGATATGTCGCAACACTGATGAGCCACAATAGGGCGAAACGGCCGTCTGGTGCTTTTCCGGATAGCTGGTCGACATATCTGAATTGTCGGCTGATTGCGACGAACAAAAATACTCACCAAAATCCTTCCACTCATAAATAATACCGAGGTACTGTTTTTGGCGATCTGTATGATGCAACTCCATGAAAGAGTGGTTGCCAAGCTGAGTAGCTTAGGGTGCAACCAACTTTACTTGGAGACACCACTGATAATTCCACGCAAAGCCAATAGCTATGCCATATACAACTGTAAAGCCCACGAGAACTCCAAAGAAATAAACAAATATTTTACTTCTCTAAGGTGAGAGGGATTGGAACAGATCCATAGGCACATAGTTTTCACAGTGTTTCACAGATGGTGTCATCCAACATAGGACTGGAGACAGATCAATTCCGCATGTGACGACATCTATGAAAGCATCTGTGCTTTATATGTTCCATCACTGTTGAACTACATGGTAAGTTCATGTCAGTATTAAACATCCATTGTGTTGACGGACGGAAGCGGTTGAGTATTCTTTAGCGAAGTTCTACGGGTGCCTCCTATTCATTCATATATATGGCTGGCGGCACCCGGTTTCGGATGTGCCTGTCACTGTGGCCAGCCACAGGACGCCTGCGCATACAGAAGGACCATGGGTGGGTTGCGCTGCACTATCCACAGTTCCAATCACACACCCCATATCCAGTGTAAACCCGAAACAATAAGACCGGGAGGCATGTGGATGGGTGCCACGTTTCATCAACGGAACCGGCCCACACTCCTTCACAGGCAAACACAAGTACGCTGTATTTGGGGAATCAAGCGCACACAAGGCGGTGGTTGGACCGTAGTCCGCTCCACACTGAGTGCATGGAACCACTCTTCGAGCCTAGCACGACCACAAGGACCGTGCACCCTGTCCCCTCCAGCGGCGACCAACTGTCTCCTGGAGCCAGTATGGACGAGGTAGTGGGTAGTAGACAGGTAGGCACCTTGTCAACATGCACATCAGGCGCAGTCAGACCGGGGATAACAAGCAACAGTCAATCACTACTGAGAAAGACAACAAATAAAATAAATCTAGTAATGCATAAGGAACCGGTGACATAAATCTTAAATTAATGAGCATATAAAATAAGTTGTTTACAAACGAATCCGAGATAAGTTCACGAGATCAGAAAACATATTTTAAGAAAATGCCACAAACACGAAAGTGTTATCGAAATTAACTACAATTAGCTTTAGAGACTTGTGCAAGTTTATAGAAGGGAGTACAGGTAGACATTTATATGAGAAAGAAAAGCATTAGGGCAAAATTGAAAATCCACCACCTGAAAGAAATAGACTCAGCATGCAAGCACACGGTTAGTAAATCGAATGCAGCGTACCTACAAACGCTGCACCGGTTCTGTCTACGTTCTCTGCAGGATCCGTCGTCGCTTCGGTAGTGGTCCCGAGTGGCGTCGCTCATGGCTCACTAGGCCTGTCTGACTCAGGCACTCGCGACCGCATGTGGTACAGAACCATGCGCTCGATGTCGATGGAAAACAACCCATCGGTATTTGCCGCTTCCGCAATTGTCGCTTCTTCCCTGCATGAATAAGGGCTTTCCCTTTCACCTTGGCAACAGCTTTCGTGATTAGATCGCGCCGTGCACCACGATCAACCGCTTTCCATTCCCATGATCTGTAATCAAGATTTGAACGTGAGAGGCTCACCTTGATCATGTCCTGGTAACGTAATTTTGGTTTCCCCGCATGCCGATTCCCAATACTCAGCTGACCATACGAGTTGTTTCGGTATCCGTGTCAAATCGATACTCCACACATGACCGAGCCACCTCAGGTGTCTCAGCAAAAGTATGCAGTCCACTGCACACATACCACTTTGTCGCAACACTTCCGTGTCAGCAACTCTGTCGTCCCAAGCGATGCGAAAAATCCGTCGCAAAAACTGCCGATGGAACCGCTCGAGATATCGCATATCCCGCCTGCACATCGTCCAGGTTTCACTGCCGTATTGAAGAAGGGACAGCACCATGGATTTGTACACCATCAGCTTCGTGCCAATGGTAAACTGATGGTTGTTCCACATTCGGTACTCTACCTTCCCGAATGCCGCCGCTGCCTTTGACACGCGGATACGCAGCTCACTGGGTAGCTGCGGATCAGTCGAAATCACACTCCCAAGGTAGCAGAAGCGGGAGGTGGTTTCTAATCCTTCAGCACCAATGCTGATTCGCCGCAGTATTGATGATTGCACCTCCGGTAAAGGCTGAAAGAGGCAGGCAGTTTTACTTGTGTTGATGGTGAGCCCGAATTTGGCCGCTGTCGAAGCCAGAGCACTAGTCATGTGCTGCAACTCATCCGCGCTGTGTGAAAACAACGCGCAGTCGTCAGCAAACAGCAACATACGGAGAGTTGTCTCACAGACTAGAGTTCTCGCACCGAAACGACGGATGTTCAGCAACCCACCATCAATACGGTGTTCCACACGAACACCGTAAGCACAAGCCGCATCAATTGCACAAGACACCATGGCATGAAGATATATATTAACCAAGGCAGGAGCTAAGACACAGCCTTGCTTCACACCAGAGACAACTGCAAAGTCATCCGAGGTCTCTCCACTCAGCTGCACCCTCGCTCGCATACCACTGTGCAGACATTCAAGTAAAGTTACAAATTTACGCGGACAACCAAACTTACCCCACACCACCCACAATGCCTCGCGGTTCACTGTGTCAAATGCCTTGGTGAAATCAACAAAAAGCGATTACAACGGCTGGTGTCGTTCTCTGCACTTCTCCTGTAACTGACGAGCTGCAAACACTATATCTATAATGCTGCGACCCGAAAGGAACCCACAGTGCTCTTTCGCCACGTTCGGTTCCACAACCTGACTTACCAGGCGGTAGAGCAGGATTCGGGCAATCACCTTGCCCACACAACTCAGCAAGTAGATGCCACGATAATTCGTGCAACATTGCTTGCTCCCTTTACCCTTATACAGTGGTAGCACAAGGGCCTCCTTCAGCTCAGGATGCACCTCCTCCTCAATCCATACACGTTGCACCAAGTGGTGCAACGCTGTCAACAACGCGGGTCCGCCGTGTTTCAATACTTCAGGCGGGATCCCGTCGGCTCCGGCACGTTTACCGTCTCGCAGCTGAGCATGTGCACTCTGCGTCTCATCCAGTGTCGGCGTGTCCGCCAGACTCGCCGTCACATCGTGCTGCTTCAGGCCGTTCAATGTAGGCCAGTCGATCTCTGAATGGTTGTTCAAGAGACAGTCAAAGTGTTTTCGCCAGATCTGCATTATGTCTGCAGTCTGTGTGCAGGTAGCGCCTGAACTACCATCGATCAGCATCCTCAGCGGCTCCAATCTCGGTCCATACACCGCCTTCAAGGAACCGGTGAATTCCTTGTGTTGGCTGCGTTCGGCGTAGCTTTCCATCTGCTTCGTCTTCTCCGTCCACCATACATTTTTTATGCGACGGAGCTCTCGGGTCAGTCGCCGTCGAATTATGCGAAACTGACTACTCTTCCCCAATTCACTAGGGTCTGCGACAAGTGCAGCAAATGCTGCATTCTTCTCCGACACCAATACGCCAGTCGTCGCGTTGTTGTCATCAAACCGATCAGGCCGCTTACAGTTTGCGCGCCCGATGGTCTCCTCGGCAGCAGCTGTCACC